AGTAGGTGTTGGTGGTACCACCTGAGCCGTTGCTAAGATTGATCTGTGTAGTCTACGAGTGGCATGCTCTCCACAGTGAAGTTGTTTTTCTCTTCTTTATCTTGTGATGAGCTACTTCTTCTTCCATCTTTTCTGTTTACTAATCGATTGATCAATTGATTGATTGAGGGGGGAATGTGTGTAGGTTATAAGACAACTTTTGGAACTTGGTTTTGTCCTTCTTCCTTGTAGGTCCCAAGGTTTGAACTCAAGTTGTTAGACTTGGTAGCAGGCACCTTTATCTACTAGCCATTTTAGCAGCTACTTCCTCCTCCACACTCCTTGATCTTAATGCATGGAGTTGATCATTGCAATAATCATTTTCATTGGAATAAAGCAACCTTTAAATTCTGTGATTTTTCCCTCAATGTATTAAATTATTAATTTATTAATAATTTACTAATATTAATTTATGTAAAGGGATGCTTTCCCTAATCTATTACGGCCATTAGATTTGTAATACATATATATTTAATTTTTTTTTAATTTGGTTATTTTCTAATGACATATTCCCATTTCTTTTTTCTCTTTAAAGAAGGTATCTGACTTCCATGGATTTGATATATTAAGTATATTTCAATCAACTATAGTCCTTACTCTTCTTGATGTTCAGGTTGTATCATCTCCTGCCAGGGGGAGATTGGACACCTTTGTCCTTTCAGCCTATCCCCATTAGTCTATTGTTTTGTTTTGTTTTCAATTTCTGATCATCTGTATCTACAGCAATAGTATTTCACTGTAATGTTTTCCTATTTAATCATGGAAGTGGATTTAAGGAACTAATAAAAAGAAAAAAAATTACTAATGATAATCCAGCCACCAAGATTTCAACAGGAGTTTTAGTTCCAGTTCCCATTCTATCTTATTTATTCTTTGCACACGCACACAATGTAGTTTAATCATATTTACTTCTTTCCTCTCTTATGCTCATTCTTTATCCTTCTCCCCACACCTGCTGAACCCCTTCTTCCCAACAAGGCCCCCTCCTACTTTCTTGTCTTTTTCTTTGATACACTGAGTTTAGTTAGGTTTGCTTACATGAGAATGAGGGGATGTTATTTATTGGAGCATGGGTAACTTATCAGTAGCTACTCCACTGAAGAAAATGATGGTTTCCCCCATCCTCCTGGGAAGGATGGGACTTCATGATGAAATGTTGATCATGTTCTCCAGTTAGCACAGGTAGCCACAGTTGCTGTGAGTTCACGAATATGAACTGTCTTGTTATGTCCAGAAGATAGTATTTCACAGCATTCTTCCCAATCTTCCTGCTCTTATATGTGTATCCTCATAGTTCCCAGAGCCTGGAATTACTGATAGAGAAACCTTATTTAGCGATGACTCCACAGTCATTAATTCTCTACACTATGAATGGTTATGAGTCTCTGCATTAACCTTTGATCTCTACACAAAGAAGCTTTTCTCTGAAAGGCTAAGATGAACACTTATCTGCACCATTAGTCCTTTATACCTTCCTGCCCTCTAGTTTGATGAGACAGTTTAGGCCCACATTTCCCCCTTTTATTTTATAGTAATAATAATGAATAAAATGAATTTTATGTCCTTTCCCTTTCATTTTATTTCATACGTTTCATCCCAACTGCAGTTTCCCCTCCCTTCACTCTTCCTAGACCCTTCTCCCACCTCCCCTCTCCCCCTAGACCTCTCCCTCCTGTTTTCCTTCAAAAAAAGAACAGGCCTCACAGGGATATGCACCAAACATGGCCTAGCAAGATACAAGAAAATGAGGCACAAACCCTCAAATCATCTAGACTTGGCAAAAGGGTCCCAGGTGCAAGCAAGAGTCAGAGATGCCCCCATCCCCCAAAAAAACTCCAGTTGTTAGGAGTCATACAAGAACACCAAGCTACACAACCGTAACATATAGGAAAAGAACCTAGCTCAGGTTCTGTGTTTGTCACTTCAGTCTCTGTGAGTTGCTATGAGTCCTTAGTTGATTCTGTGGCCTGTGGTCTCACGGTGTCTTGACCCTCTGGCTCCTCCAATCCTTCCTTGATCTCTTCTGCAGGATTCTCTGAGCTCTGCCTAATGTTTTACAGTAGGTCTCTGCATCTGCTCCCATCAGTTGCTGGGTACTGCTGCTCTGATGGCAGCTGGGTTAGGTACCAATCTATGAGTATTACAGAATATCATTAGGAATCATTTCATTGACTTTCTTTAGCCAGTTGTGCTTTGTTCTATCCTAGGTCTCCAGATATGTAACTTCTGGTTCTTGGCCATCCAGGCAGTGTCAGGCATAGGCTCCCTCTTGTGGAGTGGGCCTCAAGTTACAGGCAGTCGTTGGTGGGCCACTCCCACAAGTTCTGCACCACCATTACCCCAGTACATCTTGCAGGCAGAACAGATTGTAGGTCAGTTTTGTGACTGGGTTGATGTTCCAGTCCCACTGCTAGAAGCGTTGTCTTGTTACAGAAGATCGACGGTTTGGGGTCTGTACCCCCATTACTAGGGGACTTCAGTAGGGTCAGTCTCATAGATTCCAGGGAGTTTTCACTGCACTAGGTTTTCACATAGACCACCACCCCCCATGTCCTGTAATTCCAGTCATCTCTGCTAGTACTCTCTCTCATCTTAATACCCTTTCTTCCGAAACCCTGGAGTCAGCTATTTATCTATAAAAATTCTGAGACTCCTTTTAGTGGGAACTGATATCTTACTCCAAAATCTGGGTACTGGAGCTATACTGGTATTATTTTCTCCCTTGTTTCTATGCCTCAGTGTATAGAGCTAGGATATGTACTTTTCCTGTTGGTATGGCAAAATACCCTGACCAAAAATTAAAATTCTAGGGGAGAAAAGATTTCTTGCAGCTCTCAAGTCAAGAGTACAGTCTGTCATATGGAAATCAAGGGAACAGAAGCTTAAAGCAATGGGTTATATTGCATCCACAATCAGGAAGCAGATAACAGTGAAAGAATGCTAGTGTTCAGTTCACTTTTGCTGTTTGCTATAGTCTGGGAGCCCAGCCAGTAAACAATGTCACCCATAGTAGGCAGGCCTTCACACATCAATTAGTGTTGTCAAGATAATCATCCATAGACATGCTTAGAAGGTCATGTAATTTAGGTAATTCCTCACATGTCCATGCAGGGACCTAACATCTATGTAAAACCAGATTCTGTCAAATTGACAGTACTAACCATCACAGTATGTATTCACTCTACATAATGATGGATCTCATAAAGACATTTTGTGCAAGTATATTATAGACTTGAATCACATTGACCCCAACCATCTTTTTTCTTCTCTTTCCTTCCTCTACATTTCTAAAATAGTCTCATTTCTAATATAGATAGATAAAGATATTTTTTTTTTTTTGGATTTTCGAGACATGGTTTCTCCGTAGCTTTTTGGTTCCTGTCCTGGAACTAGCTCTTGTAGATCAGGCTAGCCTTGAACTCACAGTGATCCACCTGCTTCTGCCTCCTGAGTGCTGGGATTAAAGGCGTGCGCCACCACCACTCGACGATAAAGATAATTTTATGTTTTCATTTGAAATCTAGGATTCACAAATGATACACATGTTGAATTCTTTTGCTGCAGTGAAGAACTCTTTTATCCTTATTTTTTAATTATGATAAATTAAGTTCTTTATTTCAAAGAATTTTTATTTTATTTTTATCATTTTGTTGATTCATTATAGTTATTTGTTTTATTTTTATTTTTGAAGAGTTTTAAGAGATGCATTGAATTCTCCTATACCTTTTACCTAAATTCCCTGGTCAACATGGTACCTAATTCATCTTCTTCTCTTACTCTCTGAAATTACAAACAGGGATAATTTTTCCCTGAATCATTTAAATGTATGTTTTTGGTGACTTCAATTCTATGTAGTTGAGTGTATGTCTCTTAAGAACAACGTAATTCTCATACATGACTTCAATGCCTTTTTATCATGTTTTCAATTTATTTAATAGTGAAGCAATTATATTATCTCATACATGATCCATATTTGGATTTCACCAGATGTCCCTAAAATTTCCTTGTGAAGTCCTAGCCCAGATTCAGGATCCACTAAAGCAGTGGTTCTCAACCTTCCTAATGCTATGACCCTTTAATACAGTTCTTCATGTTGTGCTGACCTCCAGCCATAACATTGTTTCATTGCTACTTCATAACTGTAATTTTGCTATTGTTTTGAATCATAATGTTAATATCTCATATGCAGGATATCTGATGTGACACCCTGTGGGGTTGAAATCCACAGGTTGAGAACTGCTGCAGTAAAGGACCCTGCATTTCATTTGGTTATCGTGTTTGTTTAACAGAAGTACCCCTCCTGCCTTCTGCCTTTGAAGATACTGAGATTTTTGTAGAGTTCAAGTCAGTTGTCCTGCAGAATGTTCTAAACCAATATTTGTGTTCTAATGAGTAGAATCAGGTTTAACTTTGTGCCAAATACTTATATTCTGTTTTCTTTGTGCCTTTTCCTTTTGCAAGACAGGCCTTATGGAGGTCAGGCTGACCTCAAACTCATTTTTATGATGACCCTGGACCCCTATCCCTCCTTCCTCTCTCACATGCTAGGATTACAGGCATGTGCTACCATGCTCAACATCTGTATCTGTATACTGTGAACTTTCTAGTGCATAGTTATGCCTATAAGGAGAGGGCTTGCTCAGTTGTTCCAATGTCCATGTATGAGACTGTCAATAAGCATTACCTAAAAAAGAAGACCTTTTCATGTTGGCAGTGCTGGCCATCAGGGCCTTACATATGCCAGGCCAGCACCCCATCATTGAGATATAACCCTGATGAAGACTTTCAAACTGGCAGGCACTTGTTCATCTTAATTCTTTATTAGATAATAGCATAAATAGCGTACACTTTTTTGTAGTAGGTAGGCCTAAAACTTGACATCCTCCTGTCTCAGCATCCCTAATTTTAGGATTACACCCATCAAGGCCACATCTTAAACTAAGTTTTTCTCTTTTGTTTAGGCCAGCATTTGTAAATCCACTCATCCCTGAAACTGCAGAAGAAGAAGAACTCTTTAGACAAGGAGAATGTATGTTAATTTGCTTATAGTAAAATAAAAATTTTAAGCATATTAGTTTTACCTTAGAAGGGATTATTGAAGATTATATGACTCTTATATCAGTCAGATGTGTTACTCACATCCGAAAGTTTTTGATAATAAAAAATACTATATTTTGTCCCAAGGAGTTAATGCTTTGAACAGTTTTATTGATGAGACAGTATTAAATGAAGCAATTTCTCTTTTCATTTTCTTATTGCTTGAGAATTACATACATGCATATAGTATGTTTTTATCAAATCCCACCCCTTTTCCTTCCTTCCCTATACACTGCCCACTCTTCCCTCCTAATTTCATATACTCTTTTTAAAACTGAATTCACTTAATGTTGCCAATATGTGCATGGGTGCAGGACCATTTACTGGAAAATGGGTAGTGTATCTTAGTGGTTTAAATGCAAGACAGGTCAGGACTCTAGACCAGTATGATAACCAGTGTTTTCATGCTAAACTGATATAATTTCCAAGAAAGATGGGCTCAGCAGTTAAGAGCACTGGCTGCTTTTCCAGCGGACTCAGGTTCAATTCCTACCTGTCTGTAACTCCAGTTCTGGGGGACTTGACACCCTCATACAGACATATGTGCAAAATCAATGCACATAAAATAAAAATAAGTTAAATCACTATTTTAAAAAGTCTTCCGCTGGGCAATTGTGGTGCATGCCTTTAATCGCAGCACTAAGGAGGCAGAGGCAAGCAGATCTCTGTGAGTTCGAGGTCAGTCTGGTCTATAGAGTGAGTTCCAGGACAACCAGGGTGGTTACACAGACCCTATCTCTAAAAACAAAACAAAAGACCAAAAGAGTCTTAAAAATAAAAGAAAATACTTACTAGAAAAACAAGGTTTCTTTTGTGGTTTGGGTTTGAAACCCAGTGCTTTGTACTTTAAGAAAAGTGCTGTACTTCTGAACTGTGTCATGTCCCTGGTCCCATTTCTGGAAATTTTATGCACTCTCTGCAACATTCTAGTGGATGAATAAATGTATGTGTGTGTATGTACATATATACATATGCATGTGTCTATGTATGTGTATATTCTGGTGGGATTTTGAAACTTAGACATAAGTTGTATGCTGCAAGACAACCTAGATGCTGTGAGAGGACCCTCCTGATCACACCTCTTTGTTCTTGCATTCTCCAGTGAACAAGAGACGAAGGATTGCCTTTAGCTCCGCTTCATTACTGAAAATGGCTCCCAGTCCTGAGGAGAGGAATACCATACATGAGATGTTTCTTAACACACTGGATCCAAAGTAAGTTAAGATGGTGAGACTACAAGTTGAGAAAGTATTTGAGTGCAAGGTCTTCTCCAGAGCCACACTTGAATGGAGAGTGTTTCTAACCAGTTTCTTCTCAAGAGTGAAAGCATGACAATAACCAGGTTTAATTCATCTCCACTTGCACAGGACTATAAGTTTTCAGAGTCGAATTTTGCCGCCAAAGGCAGTGTGGATGGAGGATACAAAACTCAAGAGCTTGGATATTTGTCACCCTCAGGTACTAGAACTTTGTGAGCAATCTTCTGAATGTGCTGGATTGCATTCATGATAATTGTCTAAAATCTGACACACCTTTAAACGGCCCACAAAAGGGTAGCCACAAACTTTTATTTGTTAATATTCATTTTTTTAAAGGAGCGGAACATTTTCAATCGGATCTTTGGTGGTTTTCTTATGAGGAAAGCATATGAACTTGCGTGGGCTACTGCTTGTAGCTTTGGGTGAGTTTGACTTAAGTTAACTTCTGAGAAACAACTTATTCCACTGAATGGAAATATTTTAAACCACTCTGAACTACACTATAGAATTATGCTTTTTATAAGATCTCTGTGTGCTACATTCACGTGTGTGTGTGTGTGTGTGTGTGTGTGTATCTTTAGGTTTTAAATGGGGAAATTATGTAAGATGACACTGAGACCATATAGATCTCAAATCAGTTTGCTTTCTGTTTTTCATATTGCTGTATTTTTTTCAGTTGGTCTTTAATTAATGAGCTAACATTCTAAAATCAAAGTAAAAGGCCTCAGATAATTTTTTAATTAAAAACTTTTATTATATATTCCTAGGTAATGTCATACACAAATTGAGCCCCAGACTTTTACTGTAGTGAATATCACCCTCATAGTAGCTGCCTTTGATAATATTTCCTTTCTTTTTTTTTTTTTTTTTTTTTTTTTTTTTTTTTTTTTTGCTTTTTCGAGACAGGGTTTCTCTGTGGCTTTGGAGCCTGTCCTGGAACTAGCTCTGTAGACCAGGCTGGTCTCGAACTCACAGAGATCCACCTAGCTCTGCCTCCCGAGTGCTGGGATTGAAGGCGTGCGCCACCATCGCCCAGCAATATTTCCTTTCTTTACATTTTTTTTGACTATTGTTATTTTGCGTCAGGAAATTGTTAAGGGAAATACTTTAGACCTGAATTTTGCAGTTCACTCTAATCTTGGTCTTTCTCCAATAGTGGTTCCCGGCCATTTGTGGTAACCGTAGATGATATCATGTTTCAGAAACCCGTTGAAGTTGGCTCACTGCTCTTTCTTTCTTCGCAGGTAGGTGTGCCATGAAATGTGAAAAGTATTTTTTGTCATTTGGGTTTAGAAAAGAAGTTTTTATTTTCTGTGTTTCTTTTACGACTGGGTTCTTCCCTTGTTCCTAAAACAACTGATTACGTCTTATTTCTATAATCTGTTAGGTATGCTTTACTCAGGACAATTACATTCAAGTCAGAGTACATAGTGAAGTGGCCTCTCTTGAGAGTAATGAACATATGACCACCAATGTATTTCATTTTACATTCATGTCAGAAAAAGAAGTACCCTTGGTTTTCCCCAAAACATATGGAGGTAAGTTATGATGACTGCTTCTTCCTAATGAAAGAAAGAAATGTTTAAGAAAGAAATTCTCTTTTTTTTCCATGGCAGGGGATTGAACCCAGGGGTTTTCATACATTGAGCTATATTTCCTTCTTTTAAATTATCCCTAAATCCAAGGATTCACATGAGCTAAACATGTATTCTGCCACTGAGTTAGATTTCCATCACTCTTCTTTTAAATTATCCTTACCACTGTCCCCAAGCCTGTTAGCCCAGGAGCATGTCTTTGGGAGATGTGGGTTTTTATGTTCTGAAGCCCTGAAAGCCAGAGATGCCTTTTGGGCCCCAGAAATGGCCGTTGTTACTTTGCTTAGCTTTTGTATACAGGCCTGGTGGGAACTGCAAACAGCCATTAATAATGAAAGAAGACTAGTGCAGCCAACAAAAAGGATGAAGTCAGCATCTGTTCTCTCAGGATAGTGTGCATCCCTGTTGCTGGCTTTGCACATGCAATGCTGTCCTAGTATTCCAAACTAGTCATTCATCTGTATGATTGTCCAAGGTGCTACACATTTCTCCAGCGGTTTCTTTCTTGTATTTCAGAGTCCATGTTGTATTTAGATGGACATCGTCATTTCAAGTCCATGAGTGTCCCAGTGACCTTGAAAAAGGATTACCCTGTGGAGCCCTAGGAAAATCTCACTTGCTGCAAACCAGCAGTTCCTGCACAGTGGCATAGTGCCTAATAAAGCCATGCTGTAAAGTATTGATGTTTGTATGGCCTTTCATCCTCCATAAAGGGGACTATATTCAGCTTTTAGAACCATCAGAAAAGCAGAATGAGTGGCTGGATGGGGCTGAGGGAGTGAAAGAATGATTAAACAATAAATCCTTTTACAGTGCTGTGAATTGTGAGCCTACCGTGTTGCTTATGACCCCTATGTGCTAAACATTTCAGCCGATTGTGTTTTTATACAGTTGGGCATGTTCTTTTGAGTAAAATTCTTTTTAAGCCTGACTGGTTTCCGTATGTTGTCTAAAATCCCACAAATGCTATATGTTTGTTTATTGTTTTTTAATCTTTTTTTTATTTCTTTGACTATTTTCTTTTTTTCTTTATTTTTAAAAAAAGTATCTTTTCTCATTTTACATATGAATCCCAGTTCCTATTCTATCCCCTCCTCCCATTCCCTTCACCCCCCCCCCCCCCCCCCCCCGCCACCCAATCCACTCCTCAGGGACAGTAAGGTTTCCCATGGGGAGTCAACAAAGTCTAGCACATTGTTTTTCTTTTTTTCAAGATGGTTTCTCTAGCCCTGGTTGTCCTGGAACTCACTCTGTAGACCAGGCTAGTCTCAGTCTCACGGAGACCCACCTGTCTCTGCCTTCTGAGTGCTGGGATTAAAGACGTGTGCCACCACTGATGGCTTATATGATTGTTCATTGCTTATCTCCCCAAGGTTTTATTGTTGATAGAGGGCAGATGGAAAGCAGATAAAGGAATTCATGAAAGTCTACGGCATTTGTAAAGATTTATGGGAAGGTTTAAATTTGAAAATATAAAGAAGTGTTCAGGGGTGAGGTAGATGTGGAAACAGAATCATTTGTTCATTCTTAAATTTACTAGATACACCATGTTATGGGTTGGGAAGGATACTTCTGGTTTTAAAATAGTAACTGTTCATGCTTCTGGAGCATTTATATGCTAGTCAGGCATTTGACCTGTATGAATCATATTTCTTTCACGTATCATGGTGAGGCAGGATCTGCTACTCCCCATAGGGTTAGCCACTCGGGAACCTGAAGTGCATCCTGGTTAAGTGCCTTGTTCAAGGTCTAGCAGCTCAGAAGTAGCCTGCTGGCAGTTTAAGGGCAGGGTATTCTTGAGAACTACAGCATGCAACATTCAAGGAATATAACAGGAGGTATCATACCCACTGGGAACTCAAAGGGAAATATTCTATTTCTTTTTCATCTTTTATTCTTTTCTCCTTTCCCTCGCCCATTCCTTTTTTCTTTTTGGTATCATAGATTAAACCCAGAGACTTGTATGTTTTCCAGCACAGTGTTAGACTCTAACCAGCAGTGCCATTAATTTGCACCCAAGATACTTTATTCCATTATGGGAGGGGAACTTGATCGAGTTTAGAAGAGGAGGGAACAAAATAGAGACTACATAGATGATAAAAGGAATTTCTGGCAGTGTTCTTTAGCAAGGATTCTAGATCAATGAAAACAGACACAGCTCTGGCTTGGAATGATCTAGACTACTTTAAAATTTGTTTATGTAATATTTATTAAAATCATAGTCAATATAAAGTATTTTGCATGAACAGTCATGGAAAAAACAGCTCACTCTATGGCATGTGGTTTAATTGAATGGGATCAAATTGAACCACCTGGTGATTCACCTGGCCATTTGGTCCTGTGTTTTGGAGATCTATGTATGACATGGATACCTATGACTTAGCTAGATGGCTAAATGGAGATGATCCTCATTGAATTAAATTCATTTAAATTGACTACATATCTTTTTATACATTATGCATCATGCGATTAGCCATTTGTGCCTGTACACTGAAGTTTTTCTGGACTTTATTTCTATTCTAAACACAGTGTTATAAGAACACCTAAGACATTTGGCCCCTAAATTCTTTCCTCAGGAAAAGTATGTAGAAGCAAGATAGCAAGCTATCTAGACCAAGAAGTATGCAAACAGTGAAGATAGAGAAATTCCAGAACAGTTAAGCACATACAGATGCCCACAATTTTTTCGGACTTTGCCAGATTTTTGTCTTTTGTTGTAAAAATGTCTTCGGCATTTTATAGTTAAAATGACATTTGTTAATTGTTTTTCTTTGAATCCTGCTTATTTTGTTTTTATTTAAACTTTTCAAGTCAGAAGTAACACAAGTTTTGTTTGCATTTACCAATACAGGTATTGAGGTTCTGGGCTGAGGCTGCCATAGCTCAGTGGTATAGACAGAATTTATGTCCCACCCAGCCCTGCAGCCATTCAGTCTCAAAGAAACACACAGAGGCTTATATTAATTATAAACTGTTTGCCCTATTAGCTCAGGCTTATTATTAACTAACATAAATTAACCCATAATTTTTATCTGTGTTTAGGCATGTGGCTTGGTACCTTTTCTCAGTGAGGCATTCTCCTCTTGCTTCCTCTGCATCTGGCTGGTGACTGTGTCTCTGTCTTTCCTATTCCCAGAATTCTCCTAGTCTTGTTGCCCCCCCCATACTTTGCCTGGCTACTGGCCAATCAGCATTTTATTAAACCAAGAAGAGCGATAAATCTTTATAGGATACAAGAACATTCTCCCATAACACTTCATCTTTTTTCGTTTCAAAACAAGAACTCTAAATCTAATCTCCTTTGTTTAGCTTTTTTCCTGACCATTATCCATAACAACATGTAACCAACAGTCTAAACAAAGACAAACACCCATAATGCATTTTGGTGCCGATAATATAAGGACCCAAAGAAAATTTAGGATTATAGTCAAGTCCTAACTGGAGTAGTCTGTAAGAATGGGTCAGTCATCTCAGCCAATAGCCTTGAAGCTGTTCTGGATGTAGAACTCAAGAGGAAACTGCAACAGAAGTGCTTTAAAATGGGAGGCTGTGGCGGGGAAGAGACAGAAATCTTTAATAAATAAATTAATTAATTAAAAAAATGTGGGCTCATCTGGGCCAACCATTCCTATTGGAGATTTTTCAGAGGTCTTCCTTGATCAAACCTTATGCAGAATGCATCCACAGCCTCTCATTTTCTGTAGAAACAAAATCAAAACCTCTTCTCCAAAGTAACACATCTTGACTTAAAGTTTGAAGTCAAGGCTTTTTCAAATAAGTAATTTGGATTAATCCAGCATCACTTATAGTCAAATGTCTTTTAGCACTCTTGTTCCTTCCACAGCAGCCAAACAATTAAAAAAAACAATACAATAATATACTGTATCCAGATTCTCTGTGTATTTTGTATCATTATTTGTCTTTTTTTACTCTAAATTTTTTTTTTTGTTTTTAAAAGGGGGTTTCTCTGTGCATCTTTGGCTGTCCTGGAACTAACTCTGTAGACCAGGATGACCTCAAACTCACAGAGATCTGCCTGCCTTTGTCTCCCAAGTGCTCAGATTAAAGGCGTGTGCCACCATGCCCAGATACACTATCACTTTCTTTTTTTTTAAATGATGTTTTTTTTAAACATTTATTTATTTATTATGTATACAATATTCTGTCTGTGTGCATGTCTGCAGGCCAGAAGGGGGCACCAGACCTCATTACAGATGGTTGTGAGCCATCACGTGGTTGCCGGGAATTGAACTCAGGAACTTTGGAAGAGCAGGCAATGCTCTCAACCACTGAGCCATCTCTCCAGCCCCACACTATCACTTTCTTAAAGCATTTCCTCTGTCGTTTTTATTTACTTTCCCACGTCTACATACATATTTTTTAACACTGTAAACCATTTAGAGGCATTTTGTCTCAATCTGTCTTTACTGTATGTCTCTATCTTTTTCAGACCATATGAGTCTTTTATCTGCTAAGCGATATGGCCAGGATTAAAGCTGCGGTTTGGGGGCCTGGCTCCACCCCATTCCTTTGTTTTCTGAGAGTCTAGCTTCATGGCAGAGGTACTAGTGGGAGCCAGATTTATTGCCAAAAGTCTGCAGACTTTCTAGGTCCATGAAACCACCAAGAAGCCTGATGCAAGGGTCTTCATAAACAACATTTAAGTGTTTTGTGTCAGAGACTCTTAAAAGAGCTGCAAAGTTTTTGCCAATAATGTTGAGTTAGGAAACCTCTCTTAAAGGAGACACTACTCTGTTTGCTGCCAGAGAACAGTCTTCCTGAGTAAAGATGGTTACAAAGAAGGTGCGCTTGACTCTGTTCTTTTTTAAAGCTTTCTCAGGCTTCATGTGGAAATTCTTGCCAAACATTTGGATGCCATTTGTAAGCAGAAATTTCTGTCCCACATGGTCCTGCAGGCATCCAGTCCCAAATAAACACAGAGGCTTATATTAAATATAATATAATTATATATAATAGGCCATTTGGCCTATTAGCTCAGGCATATTAACTAGCTCTTACAACATAAATTAATCCATAATTCTTATCTATGTTTAGTTATGGGGCTTGGTACATTTTGTCAGTGAAGCATTCGCCTCTTGCTTCCTCTGCATCTGGCTGGTGACTGTATCTCTGCATTTCCTCTTCCCAGAATTCTAGTCTGGTTGCCCCACCAATACTTCCTGCCTGGCTACTGGCCGATCAGCATTTTATTAAACCAATATTAGTGACAAATCTTTACAGTGTATAAGAGCATTCTCCCACACCACAGTGGTAGACTGTTTCCATAGCATGTTTAACCTTAAGCATAGAAAATAAAGTTGTTTTTGTTTTGAATAAATATTTTAAGTTGATTAAAGAATACTCTAAAAGATAACAAAGTTGTTTCTAGATTATTAATGTTCTATTTCTCTTTCATAATAATTGAGAGGGATGAGGTTGTAGCTCAATTGATAGAGTTATTGTGTATCATGTGTTAAGCCCTGAATTCATTCCCAGCACTGTATAAACTGGGTGTAGTGCTGTATACCTGTCATCCCCAAACATAGAGGTAGAGGCAGGAGAATCAAGTTTAAAGTCAACCTTCGCTTTGTGGTGCATGCCTTTAATCTAAGCAGTCAGGAGCCAGAGGCAGCTGGATTGCTGAGTTTGAGGCCAGCCTGGTCTACAAAGTGAGTTCCAAGACAACTAGGGCTACATAGTGAGACTTTATCTCAGTAATACTAATGACAGCCAGGCAGTGGTTTAATTTTAGCACTTGGGAGGCAGAGGCACTTGGATCTCTGTGAGTTGAAGACCATCATGATTTACAGAGCGAGTGCCAGGATAGATTCTAAAGCTACATGGAGAAAATGTGTCTATAAAATAAAAAAAAATGATAATGATGAATATGACAATGATGATGAAGAAGTCATCCTTAACTACACAGTAAGTTGGAAGACAGTCTGGGCTGAAACCCTGTCTCAAAGATAAGAAGAAATAGGTGAGAACATTTTTAAATTTTATTTATTTTATATGTGTTCCTTTAATATTCATATCCTTTACATCTTCACAGCTGTACTATTCACTGATAATCATATTTTTGTAATCTACCAAAGTGAAAAATTTATCAGTGCATTTTAATAATTGGCACTGATCTTTGTATTAGTCTAACCAATTTACATATTGTGGAAAGAACAAAGACTAATGAAGAAAAATATGAAAGTGGAAGGGAAAACATTGAGGGTGAGATGAGTGTGTATATGTTGGGGGGGTAAAGGTCAGAGAGATGGAGGAGAAGAAGGTATGGGTAGGAGTCAGAGAGATGAGGGAGCGAAGAGGGTGGAAGTGGGGTCAGCCAAAACTATGTATGAAAATATAAGGAATAGTAGGGAGGGCCATGGACCTTCCTCAAAGCAATGAGTCATACACTCTCTGAGGAGTGAATTGAGTGGGGGGATATGTGGAGGGAATGGGAGGAGGGGAGGAACTAGGAACCTGGATTGGTATTTTTAATGAAAGAAGATAGTTTGTTTCTTTCTAAAGAAAAAGAAAGGAAGGAAGGAAGGAAGGAAAGAAAAAGAAAGAAAGAAAGAAAGAAAGAAAGAAAGAAAGACAGCATGCACTTTGATCCAGCAATAGAGCCTTGTTTTTTTTTTTTTTTTTTTTTTTTTTGGTTTTTCGAGACAGGGTTTCTCTGTAGCTTTGGAGCCTATCCTGGAACTAGCTCTGTACACCAGGCTGGTCTCGAACTCACAGAGATCCGCCTGCCTCTGCCTCCCAAGTGCTGGGATTAAAGGCGTGCGCCACCATCGCCCGGCAATAGAGCCTTTTTAAAAACAAATATTGTATGGAGAATTGAGATCTTTGGAGAATTTCAAGGACAGTTAATAATCTATCTGAAGTCAGCCACCTCCATAGAATCTGTCATACATTTGGGAAATCCCAGAGTCCTCAGAAAAGAATCTGTAATAAATGCCTTCATATTCAAAAAAAAGAAAAGAAAAGAAAATATAAGGAAACCTACAATGTTTGTAAGCTAATTGAAATTTATTAAAACGTTAAGTGCAAAGCAGAAAGGACAAATGACTTAAATCTGTTAGACTTGCTAAAAGTTCATATAAAGTAAAGATGACCACTAGACAGAAAAGTGTCTTCTAGAAGCCTCTGGTCATCCCATCAGTTGCTGAAGATCTAGATGTTTGTTTGAGAGTTGAAACAGGTTCCTGCGGACAAATGGAGGCTGGAATCTCATCTCTTCCGGCTTCTTCAGCATTTTCCATCTGGGCCCCTAGTCTACTTGGGCAGGTCTTTTCCTTCAATCACTGTCCCATATCCTAATCCTCTCTGGAAACACTTAGAAGTATTCTTTACTAGCTCAAAACCAATGATCACATTTAATTTTTCTATGTTTTAGCACTGGGAGCCAAACCCAGGGTCTGAATGCTTTATAGTCAAGTATGCTAGCTACTTTTTAACTAAACTCCCAACTCCTATTTTTCAGAACTTTTTTGAGACCTGGTCTTTCAATGGAACCCAGGTTGGCCTTCACCTTGTGATTCTTCTGTCTCTTTCTCCCAGGTGCTGAAATTACAAGCACAGGCCCTAGATACCTTACTATTATCTCAATACATATAAAACTTAGTATCAATAGAAGGGATACCATGTGGAAATAAATGTCATTATTTCAGGTTCCTTATCATAAAATCTTTTGCTGTTACTCTCTTGGGACAAATGCCTATCTTTCTATTCTTTGCTTTTTTTCTATCTGTTTCCCCACACCAGTGATTGAACTCAGGGCACGTTACTACTAAATTATACTTCTACTAACTTACTCCTCTATTCACTTTATCCTATTTTAAGTTTATTGTTTTCTTTGGTGTGGTTTGAGCGATAAAAGGTCTTATCAAGTAGTTCTCTGGAACTTAACTATGTAGACCAGACTGGCCTCAAACTCAACTGAGATCTACCTGACTCTTTATAGCACTCAAAACAAAAGCAAAACAAAACACGCAAATGAACAGAAAACTGTTAACAAGCTTGTTTGAGTAGCAAGCAATTGAGTTGGGAGTACAAGACCTCAAGAGGTCTAGTGTTCGTTCACAAGGCTTTTTATATCCATAAGAACTATCAAACTTAGTTATCACCCCTACTAACAACAGAAGAGTTATTCATAGCACAAAGGCTAGGCACCCTTGCTTACGACTTGAGTTTTACAGAACCACATTTCTATTCTCTCTTATTGTAAGGGCCACTAAAGATGAATGCAGGTTGATGTAGTCGCCCACATCTGTAAATACAGCACTCAGAAGGCTGGCAGGAGGATCACAAGAGACCCTGTTTCAAAAAAACCAACAAGACAACAAAGACAGTGAGGGTGTGCCCATCATATGACAATTTTAAATATTTAATGATACATTACTAGGTTCTATCATAAAAAAGACAACTCACAGTGCAGTATTAGGGTTCAAAACATTTGACCCCGGCATTTTGTTAACCTCTCAAAATATTTGAAATATTCTGGGAATCCCTTGGCAATGGGCACAGAAAACTTTGTTTTTAATTCTCATCCTTTCTAGCAGAGTTTGGCATCTTTTCCCCACTAACATTAGTTAAATGCTTCTACTGCATCTCTTAGGTAGGTGATTAATTTAAATCTTAAATACTTTGTGTTACTTTACCTTTCAGATATCCTTATCTTTGGAAACCTCTCCTTTTGCTGAAGTATCTGGAGGGAAGGCATTGTAGTCACCCTGCATTTCTCTCCATTCTTCATCAAATGCTTTTTGAAGCTCCAATGCCAATTTTCTATCTTGGTCTTCTTGTTGATGCTTCTCAAAATACATATGCTCCAACTCTATCAGCCTTTTGGTGACAAAATTGGGTGTTTCCTCATCATCTAAGGAAGATTTGGGGGACATTTCAAGATAAGTGCCAGGCTCACCAGCTGCTTCAGATGAAGATTCCTGATGCTTTCTTTCATTAGTATGTTTACTGCTCAAAGGGGGAGACGTTTTATCTTTTGCCTCAGTTGTGCTGTTTTCAATTTCCTCGCTCTTGCCTGATAGACTGCTTCCATTCTCTGTTTCGGCAGAAGAGTGAGCAGTAGCTTCTTCTAGTTTAATGTTCTTAAGTGGGACATCAAAGAGGTGCTTAGAACAGCTTGGTTTTTCTCCGTCATCTTCCGAAGTGCCCACTTTCACATCATAGTCATGAAACGAAGCACGAAGTGCATTTATAGTATAGTATTTATAGTATAGTATAGTATATAGTATAGTATTTATAGTATAGTATTTATAGGTTTGGGATCTCAGGACCTCTGGAGCCGTTAGCCGCTGGCATATTTTCCTTAGTTTTCATTTTCTTCCCATACGGCTCTTCCCATCACTGTCAGTTTTCACAGGTATTTCCTTGCCATCTTGCACAGCGTCATACTGTGAGGCTGACTCAAGCTGAGACTGAAGAAGGGAAGGCTTTGGAACCGTGTCGCAATGTTTTAGTTTGCATTTTTTCTTTCTTGGGGATGTTGCTGAATCACCCATGCTGAACTTTTTAGCCTCCTCCTCCCTTTGCCTTTGTTCTCTCATTCTGAGCATTTCTGCCCATAACCTTTCCTTCTCCATGTCCTCTGCCAATAACTGCCTTATGTATTCCTCAGAAGCTCTGGTTTGTCTTTCCATGGTGTCCTGGCGCTCAGCCTCCATCTTCATCATCTCCTCTTCATATTCTTTCCTCAATTCCCCGGGTTTACTTAGCACCTGAGCTGGCAGAGCATCACTTAAGACCCACCACGACGGCTGTTCCTCCTCAGGGTCCCTCTGTTTGCATTCCTCTGGATACTGTGCTTGAATTCTCTGCCACAGTTCCTCATTGATAAGACTATTTATATGAGTATGGTCCAAAGCCCACGAAGAGACCGGGGTGCGGCAGAAGGGGCAGGATGAAAATAGTTTTTGGAGAAGTGCCTTAAAGCACGACTTACACATCGTGTGCTTACAAGGCAGAGTTATGGGCTCTATGAGGAATTCCATACAAAGGAGACAGTGGCAGTCATCTAAACACAAGGCCTTGGCTTTCGATAAGGCCATTTAAACAAGTAAGTCCCAATTTACACGGGTACCTCGGCGGCCTGACTGGATGTTCCGTGCTTAGCGGCAAAAGCAATGGCTCCGAGAGAGCTAGCTGGCACTTCCGCTGTGCGTGTTTGACATCCGGTTACAGGCCCGCCCCTCCCGGCCCCGGCCCCATTGCTTCCTGGAATGTTCTAGAACTTCTTTCCCGTGTCATCCCTGAGCGAGAGCTTTTAGCCAGTCTACCTACTACCTAACTTAATGTATCCCTCGGAGGAGACTTGGAATAATCATTCTATATTTTTTTATATAAGACAGGGTCTGACTTCGTGGTCCAGAGCAGTCTTGAGCTTGTGGTTCTCGTATCTCAGCCTCGTACATTCTGGGACTACAGGAATGCTGCAGCCGCAAATTCCTGAGCTCGAAATTCTTAGTTTTTGTTTAGATTTTCCTTCAATATACAGTCTCTGGGGATGATGGCGAATTATTGATTTTTCAAAAGTTCAGGTGTTTTGTGCTAGATGGCAAGGGACTGGATTCATTTCAAGCACCTGCCTTTTTCCTGAATGAAATCTTGCTAAGTGATGCTGTGTTGGAAACCAGGAACTGACAGCAAGATACTGCACAGTAAAATTAGTTCTCTGCCAGGCCTAATTTACAGTCCCCTCCTGGGAATAGGAGAATGTAAGCAGCCCTCAGTCACAGGAGAGCAGATCTTATATAGGTCTTCCATGATGTTTGCAAACAAGCAAAACTTAAATAAAAGCAAGAAATTTTGCGGTTAGCATTTAGTATAAATTCATTTTTAGAGATTTGACATCGTTGTGATTGGTCAGTTTCGGAATGCCTCGTCAAGTCGACCTGGTTTTTTGTAGTATCTCTGTCGTCTGATGGATTCAAAAAATAAAAACGGTAAAAAAAAAAACATAGGAATATGGATCATATTACACATAAGAATCAAAGTCAAAACATCAGGACTTTGAAAACAGATATGGTAGCTGAATGATAAGAGGAATGGAAACTCTGGATTTTTTTTATAACTTGGCACATAATGTGTGTGAATTACCCACATTAAAATCAATAGTGCAGGCAAAATGGGGCAATCAGCTTTGATATTAGCTGAACTTTATTCACATGCCACATTGAGAAACATTACTTGATCTGGCAGTTTCCTTCTTGGAAATTGTAATGTGCTTTAGGATACAAAAGATTGGAATTATCATGCATAAAACCCTTCTTCTCTGCTGTGGATCTATGGATCAGGGTTTGAGCACTGGCTGCTCTTTCAGAGAACTGAAGTTTGATCCACAGCACCCATATGTCTGTTCAGAATGTCTTCATTTCCACGAGATCCAGTGCCCTCTTATGGTCATCCATGGAATTGCATGCACATGGTACACAGACACTTATGTAAAACATTCATATAAATTAATAAAATACAATTTAATAACCCTGCATCACTTTCTAGTACCAGCTCTGGTAAAACGTGCATTATCACAGACATATTTTTTCAAAAGTATCTGTAAGCACATTAAGCAAACTAGGAGTATCTGTAGTGGCTAGGAGGCTTGAGATCATACCCTTTTGTAGAAAGAAAAGCATTATCCATGAAATAAATTGATCTCTTCTTTTGAACCAATTATAAGTTTTGTTTCATTCTAAATATATCTTCTTTTATTTCTTATTTTTTTTATTTTTATTTATTTATTTATTTATTTTTGGATTTTTCGAGACAGGGTTTCTCTGTAGTTTTTTTTTTGATTCCTGTCCTAGAACTAGCTCTTGTAGACCAGGCTGGCCTCGAACTCACAGAGATCCGCCTGCCTCTGCCTCTCGAGTGCTGGGATTAAAGGCGTGCGCCACCACCGCCCAGCATATATCTTCTTTTAGTTGAGAGATTATGACACATAATTTTCAGAAAAGCTTAATATTTCAATACATGTATACAGTGTATATACACAGTCTCTGTGTGTGTCTGTCCTTCACAAAGGGTTTTGCTCTATCTTTATTGAACAGGACAGAAAACATCACATGAGAAAGGAACAGGATACAGAAATCTTTGACTTTTGCAAGGATTTATGTCACTGACTCCAACAGACACAAGTAACAGTGTTACAAACACCATTGTTTACCAAGTACTATCTCGAGGTTATATTTGACATTTATGGTGGACATTCATTTTATAAGATTGATTTCCAACTTTATTTTTCTGCCTTTGGAAGATGATCATCCGAACACACATGCCTTACTGTGAATCAGGTGCATGGAAGAATACATAACAACATTAGAGTATGCATTACCTTAGGTTGTAAAAGTTGATTTACGTGGGACATACAAGACGAGTAAGGTACATTGTGACATTGTTTTCTTTTTTGTCAGATTTTTTTTCTTCAATTTATAATTCATCTTACACACCAACCACAGTTACCTCTCGCTCCATCCCTCCAGCTCTCTTCATGTCTCTCCTACCCAATCTACTCCTCAGAGAGGGTAAGGCCTCCCATGGGCGTCAACAAAGCCTGGCACATCAAGTTGAGGCAGTACCAAGGCCCTCATCCCTGCATCAAGCCTGAGCAAGGCATCCCACCATAGGGATTGGACTCCAAAAAGTCAGCTGAAGTGCCAGAGATAAATCCTGGTCCTACTGCCAGGAACCCCACAAACAAACAAAGCAACACAACTGACACCCACATGGAGAGGGCCTAGTTAGGTCCTAGGCGGGCTCCCCAGTGTGACTCTGTTTTCTTAAAGGCAGGTTAAACAAACAAGCTGAGTACACAATAGGATAGCACTTTGAAGTCCCAAGTGACCTCAATGTGTACTATTAGCTATGTCTATGAGGTTCAGCTAAAGATTTTCAGAATATTGCGGTGCCACAATGTAACAATCAACAGTCTTAATCCAGCTGGGGACTCTGACCACTACATTAACTGTAACAGCACACACAAAACCTGCACAGGTACCAATGAAATGAAATCCCAGGATTTCCCCCAGAGAGGGGGAAATAGATACAAGGTCTATTTGCAGTTGATACCTCCTGGGTAAGGCAAACATCAGAGCTTTCTCAGAATGTCATTGAGTATATCAACCACAGTCCATGGCATGCCCCATGTCCAGGAGTAGCTGGCCAACACAAAGCAGACATATTGTTTTATTTTTGTTATTGTTGTGTATATATTTTGTTTTGAGTTGTTTGCACTTTTAATTATTACCTTTTTCTTTTTTTCATATAGGGTTTCTTTGTGTAACACCTCTGATTTGTCCTGGAACTTACTCTGTAGACTAGGCTGACCTCAAACTTACAGAGATCCAACTGCCTGTGCCTCCTGAGTGCTGAGATTAGAGACCTGTGCCACTACCACGCAGCAATTACTTTTAGTTTGTCTTGGTTTTCATTTTGAGAGAGTCAGCAAATGAACTTTTATTCATTTATTCATTATTTATTTTCATTTTCCCCTCAACTGAACCATTTCTTTCCAACAAGTCTACCTGGTAGGTTCATGTATCTTTTTTGGCCCCTACAACATTTAATTAGGGTTGCCTGCATGAGAATTAGTGTGGGTTATTTAGTTGAGTAAAAAATATGAACTTGACACTTCCTGGCCATCCTACAGGGGCTATACTGCCCAAACCGCCTCTCTCTTCCTATCCCATTCAGCTTACATCCAGATCCCCACACCCCCTGTCTCCCTCCCTCCCTCCCTCCTTTGGGGCATAGCGCCTCCCTGCCCAGCCTGCTAGGGCGCTGGGACCGAATCCGAACCAGGAGGACAAAGGGGTGGCCAGTAGCTCCTTTGTTCCCATAGCCTGCCCGCAGCGAGCGGGGTGGGCCCTTTGTTCGCGAGCTAACCAAGCAGCGCAGAGTTTCGATCTGGGCACCGAGTGAAACATCATTGTGGAGAGTGAGTGCTGCGGCAGCTGGGAACATACCTCGGCCCGCCCACACTTCCTGGCCATCCTACAGGGGCTATACTGCCCAAACCGCCTCTCTCTTCCTATCCCATTCAGCTTACATCCAGATCCCCACACCCCCTGTCTCCCTCCCGCCCTCCCTCCTTTGGGGCATAGCGCCTCCCTGCCCAGCCTGCTAGGGCGCTGGGACCGAACCCGAACCGGGAGGACAAAGGGGTGGCCGGTAGCTCCTTTGTTCCCATAGCCTGCCCGCAGCAAGCAGGGTGGGCCCTTTGTTCGCGAGCTAACCAAGCAGCACGGAGTTTCGATCTGGGCACCGAGTGAAACATCATTGTGGAGAAACATCTCTGGGGAGTGACATCACTGGGAAGGTACATCAGTGGGCAAGAAGACCTGATCCTGTAAAAGAAGATCCAAAGGGGAGTATTGGGAGGAAGAGATGGGCAGACGCCAATGCAGGAATTCTCCCAACAATCTGAAAAACAACACGAAACCACCAGAAGCCAGTGACCCCACACAACAGGAGGACATGAACACCTTAATCAAGAAGAAGTAGAAAAAACTGACTTCATGAAAGTGATTGACACCCTTAAACAGCATATAAAAAACGCCCTTATAGAAATGGATGAGAAGTATAATAGAAAGTTCGAGGAATTGAGTAAATCAGTGAATGATACCCTAGGAAACCAAGGAAAAACAATCAAGCAGATAAAGGAAACAGTTCATGACTTGAAAACTGAAATGGAGGCAAAGAAGAAAACACAAACAGAGGGCCGACTGGACATGGAAAATCTAGGTAAACGAATAGAGACTACAGAATCAAGTATAACCAGCAGAATACAAGAGATAGAAGAAAGAATCTCAGATTCTGAGGATAACATAGAGAAAATAAACACTCTGATCAAAGAAAACAGCAAGTCCAACAAACTCTCATCACAAAACATTCAGGAAACATGGGACACAATAAAAAGACCAAACCTAAGAATAATTGGAGTAGAAGAAGG